GTTAATGAATATGATTTTGTAATCATAACAGAATAAAACGAAGTGGAAAGGATCGACATAATTGGCCGCGTATGAATTATGGGCCTACAAAGCCCATAATCGCTATTTACAACTTTGAAATCGAAATAATAATGGGCCTCCCACTAAAAGTATCACTTTCATTGTCACCGTAACTTTCGCGAATGTATAAAGAAGACTAAAAAAGTGGCATATTAATCTACAGAATTATTGTTACTATAAATACTAGATGATAGTATTAAAGTAACAATACATTGACACGTTGCTTATAAATTTCATGGAATGTAATATCATACGTACGTAGCGGCTTGTGACATGAAATGTATACGCAAAACTAAATACTACAATATCGTAACAATCATGATTGAACTTTACTTTTGAAAAGAAAAAACTAAAAAAAATCATGATTAATAATTCTTTTTCGACCAAACAAAAAAAAAAAATTTCTCTTTATGTTTACCCCAATTTAAAGGTTCCTTTTTATAATATAAAACACTTAAATTAAGCTTACTTGTAGATTATAAATTAACGCTTTTTAAAAAATGAAACCACGCCTCACCAACTTTTTCCTGATGTTTCTTCAAGTTTTGTTCTATTTTTTTTTGAAACTTTCAAGTTTTGTTCTTTGTTGTTACTTTTTGATGTCTAATAAGTAATAACATCATCATTGAATTCATTATATGTCAAATATCTTTTTCTTTAGTTTTCTTTCTCTACCTTGCTTTCTGCTAAATTATTTGGCAATCGGTAGTAAAATTACCAATCAAGCTGAAAAAAGAAAACAAAATTGAGAAACATGAAAAAGCACAATAAAATTATTTGCCTATGATTAAACTCGAGTTAGACAAGACTTTTGCTTATTGGTGGTTTTTGTTCATTATCTCATTCACTCACACCAAATTTTATAAATATCATATCGGTTAAACAATCTTTTGACAAAAAACAAAAAAAAAAATCAATGATCAACTTTTAAGCAATCCTCTATATATTAAAAAAGAAACATTTTTAAACAAATTTGCTTAGGTATCATCACCATAACTAGATAATTACCTGCGTTATACGCAGGATAATATGATATGCGAGTAAAATTAATATAGTTTTAGTTTAAAACTCATCTATAGTTATTAGAAAAATTATTTTACGGAATCCAAAACTAATTTATATATATGATTTTTGTAATTATTTTGTATAGAAATATATCCTACCCGTGAAATAATTGAAAACAACAAATTTTTAGTTTCTTAGTCAATATATATCACTTATAAAAATATATTTATTTAATATCATAATTTTTAAAATTACGGTTTTTGACTCAAATATACATAAAAAGATTGCAAATATGAATTGAATCTTACAGGTTAGGGTAATTATAAAAGTAATACTATAGTTTTTAAAATACAAATTCGGATTTAATTAATTGGTCACAAATCGTTTTAGGTGCTATCATAATATAAAATTTAGGTGCTATCTTAGTAGAAATCTAAAACTCATTTTATATATATAAATTTTGTAATTATTTTATATAGAAATGTGTTCCACCCATGATATAATTTTTTAAAAAAGGATTTTTAATTTCTTAATCATTATATATAACTTATTAATAACATGTATTTGTTTAATATTTTAATCTTTAAAGATACGGTGATTCAAATATACAAATGGAAAATTGCAAATATTGTTTTTAACGACTATAAATTGGATCTAGAAAGAAAACCACATAAATTGGAATAGATGATATGTCAATTACACGAATATTGTTTTTAAAATTTTGATTCAATTCAATTCGTGAACTTTATTAAAAGTTTGAATCGATATTAATTTCTTTTTTTGGGTCAAAAATCAAATTAAGCAAATTTCTTTTAAATGATTTTGTTGTTCTATTTACGGAGATATACATAATATTCCATTTTGTATATTTGAGTCATAAATCGTATTTTTAAATATTATGATATAAATTCAAAGCATTTTATTGATTAAGTGNTATATATCACAAAGTTTGACACAAATTTAAGGAAATAAATATACTTAACTTTTAAAAAGTATTTGATGTATCACTAATTATGATTGGTCTTATATGTGTATGATTTTTGTTATTGAATAAAGGTTAAAAATATGTTGTTTGGAACACATATTTATACAAAATGATCTCAAAATTCAAAAATAAAATGAGTTCTCTGTTTTGTTTAATAATTTTCTTAATAACTACAATTGGTTTTCTTTTTTGAACAAAAAAAACAAAAAAACTTACAATTGGTTTTTTAATTAAAAATACATTGATTTACTTGATAGTCACTTTTTTCCGCGTATAACGCATGTATTTACCTAGTTAGTTAGTAAATAATTTGAAAAAAGAAAATTTAATCCAT